CCCCTGCGCCGTAACCTCATCTTCAACTCCTGCGGAGAGCGTGCGTACTGGGGGCGGGGCCGGGGCGGGGCCGGGGAGGGGAGGGACCGAGAGTTCAGGGAGCCCAGGGAAGGCGGAAAGAGCGGGCGTGACTGGGATGGACGGGGCAATGGAAGGCTGTGGGCGGAATTTGAGAGAAGTAACCAACGGGAGAGAATTGAAGGAGCCAGGGGCGGAGCTAGTAGACGAAACTCTGAGGGCGTGGCTTAGGGGGAAGCGCCTAAGGCAGGCTGGGGTGAAGCTGATTGGATGCTGATGGACGGAAGTTGCACTGTAGACTAAGGCCTCACGAGTGGGAGGAAAACAGTGGGCGGAGCAACGCAGGAGGTGGAGCCCCGGGCGGCGCCAGAAATTTAAGAAGCAAAATGGGAGGCTGAGCCAGGGGGCGATTGAATGGAAGGGCAGGCTGAGTGACTGTAATTTCAACAGCCGAGGTCTAAGTAGCACCCAGGGGAGGAGGGACAGCGCGGAGCCGCGAGGGGGCGTGACAAATTGGCCGGTGACGTTGTCTCTGCTGGGCGAACCCCTCACGTTCAATCCTGTTGTGTTCTCAGAGGGTTTCAGAGGCTGGGAGGTGGAGCACGGCGGCAACGGCTGGTCGGTGGAGAAAAACATAACCCTGGTGCCCGGGGCTCCTTCCCAGACCTGCTTCGTGACTTCTTTCGAGTGAGTGGGGCCTGGGGCCTGGGGCACGGGCCGAAGAGGGAGGAGGGGGCTCTCCAACGACCCCATCCCCACCTTCATCTGACTTTACCCTCCTGACACTCCTCCATTCTTGGAGTCTGAAAGCATCTGTCGAGGGTCTGCCAGGTACTCAGGTTCTAGGCACTGTTTTAGCTGCTAGAGATGCAAGGGAAAAGATCAGAAAGATTAGCAACCTTTTCTTACTTCTTCTGCATTTTAGATATAGGGTGAGTAGATAGTAAACACAAGCAGTAGCCTGGTATAGTGGAGCACGCCTGTAATACCAGCGTTCTAGGAAGCTGAGGCAGGAGGATCACAAGATGGAGCCCAGTGTAGGGACCTTAGCCACCTATCAAGACCCCTTCTCAAAATGCAAGCAGTAAAGTAACACAAGCATTTTCATGGGGTTACTCTATGATAGGTGCTTTACGTATAACTCACTTCTAACAATAACTCTATAACCTAGGTTCTATTCTTGTCCCCATTTTATGTAAGGAAATTGAAGTACAGAGAGTAACTAATATCCAGTAAATGGTAGAGTTGGGAAATGGATCCTGGTAATCTGGCTCCAGAGCTTTTGATTATGACAACTGCTGTGAAGACATCCAAACTGAGCCGGGCATTATAATGCACACCTGTAGTCCCAGGACTTGGGGAAGCTGAGGCAGGAGGATTGCAAGTTCAGGCCCAGCCTACTAGCAATTTAGAGACCCTGTCTCAAAATAAAAAATAAGGGCCAGGGACGTAGGTCAGTGGGTTCTATCGCCAGGATCCAAAAACACAACAAAACAACTGATTTAACTGATTGTCTTTTTTTTTTTTTTTTAATGTTTTGAGACAGGGTCTCACTATGTAGTTCAAGCTGGCCTTGAACTCACTATGTAGTCCAGGCTGGCCCTGAACTTGCAGTGATCCTCCTGCTTCAGCCTCGTGAGCACTGGGATGACGAGCATGAACCACCACACTTGGCACTAGCTGATTGTCTTTCCACTTCATACTACCTACTCATTCTCCCTGTCCCCCCCTTCTGTGGGCAGCCATTCTCATGTGGCATTATCCAGCTTTCTAGTAGTTGCCAGTACACGGGGGAGCAGGAGTCATAGCTCACTATTGTCTTAATTTTCATTTTTCTGTAATGAGTAATTATCTCTTCATGTGCTTGTTAGCTTTTTTTTTTTTTTTTTTTTTTTTTTTTTTGAGGTAGGGTCTCACTATGTAGTTGAGACCAACCTGGATCACAGTGATCCTCCTGCCTCAGCCACCCAAATTCTGGGATTATAGGTGAGTGCCACCACGTTTGGCTTGTTAGCTTTTTGTTTTTTGTTTTTTGTTTTTTTTTGATACCGGGGATTGAACTCGGGTCCTTGCACTTGTAAGGCAGGCCACCGAACCGCTGAGTTTAAATCCCTGGCCCCTTGTTAGCTTTTTTGTTTGTTTGTTTGTTTTTGAGACAGGGTCTCACTGTATAGTTCAGACTGCTCTGGAACTCACTGTGTAGCCCAGGCTGGTCTCAAACTCATAGCAATCCTCCTGCCTCAGCCTCCCAAGTGCTGGGATTATAGGTGTGCACCCCCATGACCAGCTTGTTAGCTTTTTTAATTCCCTCTTTTGTAAATTACCTGTTCATATTTTCTTTTAGGACTAATATATTTTTCTTGTTGACTTGAAAGAATTCCTTACATCATCCAGATGTCCCTTGTACATCCTGGGAATTGTAGAAATCATCCACTTTACCATCTGTACTAACTGTCCGTGGTGGTTTTTTTGTTTGTTTGTTTGTTTGTTTCTTGAGACAGGGTCTCACTATGTAGTTGAGACTGACCTGGAACTCACTATGTAGCCCAGGCTGGCCTCAAACTCACAGCAATCCTCCTGCCTCAGCCTCCAGAGTGCTGGGATTACAGGCATGTGCCACCACGCCCAGCCTCCACGGTGTTTTTTGTGGGCAGAAATCTTCTGCTTCCATATGATCAAAAATTTCTTTAAAGGCCAGGCATGGTGGCATATGCCTGTAATACCAGCACTTGGGAGGCTGAGGCAGGAGGATTGCTGAGAGTTTGAGACCAGCCTGGGCTACACAGTGAGTTCCAGAGCAGTCTGAACTATATAGTGAGACCCTGTCTCAAAAAAAAAAAAAACAATTTTTTTTTCTTTCTCTTCCCTAAAATTTGTATTCTTGGGCTTGTAGCCCAGTAACACAGTGCTTGCCTAGGATACATAAGGCCCTGGGTTGAATCCCCAGCATTAAAAACAGAAATAAAAACATAAATGTATTCTTGAAATTTTGTTTTAAAAACTTCTTCCCCACCCCTAAATCCAAGCAATAGTCACTTATATACTCTTGTCTAGCAACCTCATCATTTATCTTCATATCTAAGGTGTCCCCCACCCCGCATACTGACCCCAGGGCTGTCACACTGAGCTACAACCCCAGCCCTTCATCTTGTTTTTCATTTTGAGATGGGTTCTCACTAAGTGACTAAGTTGCCCAGGCTGGGCACAAACTTGTAGTCCTCCTGCTTCACTCAGCCCCCAAGAGTGCCGGGGTTACAGGTGTGCAGCACCATGCCTGGTTTAGGTCTTTAATCTATCTCTGAATGTGCTGTTACGCAAGGATCCAATCCCCTGCCATAGACTGAGCCTGTTTTCCCAGCACTGTCTCCTAACGAATCTGCCAGTGCCCCATGGAAAGGTGTTTGCACCTTTCTCGTGTCAGAAGTCGCCATGCATACCTAGGTCTGTCCCCAACAGTGTTCTGTCCACGGGTCGACTCTGTCCTTCTGCCAACACACTACTTCTGCTGTAATACCACATCCAAGTGAGAGAAGGACCACAAAGGATACTGCAGGACCCCAGGCCTAGTCACAGTGGAGGAGGGACACGTCACTGTAGGCCTACAGAGGGTGAGGGGAAGAGCAGCTATGGGACATGAAAGCAGAGAAGGCTGTGAGGACACAGCACTGTGGGCTGTGCCTCTTTGAGGGACACAGCAGTCCCTTTGGAGGGACCTAGAAGGATTAATACTTGGATTTTATTCCTTGCTCCCTAGGGTACAAGAGACCGACCCAGCCGTACAGCCATGTAACTTTAAGAGGCCCAGAACTCTGCTCCGATATTCAGTGTGTGGCCTCCTTTGGTACTCATGTGCTTGTCCCCACAAACAGGGTCAGGCTAGTGGATGGGTCAGCCTCCTAGAGCCCAGAGCTCGGTGGAGAATGCACAGGGGTCTGAGAGGCCACAGGGAGGTGTGAGATCCATCGTGCTTCTCCCACTGTCCAGCAATCCCCAAGCAGCTGCTTTAGGCAAGGCGATCAGGGAAGGCTTCCTGGAGGAGGTGGTTTCCGCCCGACTTGAATGCCAGGACTGTGTGCCCCAGCCCCTGCTCCTCCCCTCCCAGGTGGTGTTTCAAGAGACAGCTTGTGGACCTGGTAACGGAGGGACTGTGGCAGGAGCTGTTGGACAGTGCCCAGCTGGAGATCTGCGTGGCTGACTGGTGAGTGAAGAGTGGCATCCTGCCCCCGAGGGCCAGCGGTGTTGGCAGCGGCAGCCCCCTGGGTCTGTGGTAGTGCACCCTTTGCAGTGAGACTGGGAGAGAGAGCTCACAGCTCCAGAGCGGGTAGGAGCAGAGCCTCGGTGAGCCCAGAGACCCCTCTCTGCACTTTCCCACTCTTTTCCCGTGGGCCCTGGGATTGTCCCCGTGGACTCACCGACTGGCTTGATGCCCCTGTCACCCCAACTCAGTGCTGCCCCTAAAGGCCTGTGGATGCCCACGGCTTCTGAAGGTTGAGGAGCACTATGCCCTGAGAACTCAGCTCAGAGGAGACACAGTGGAGGTGGGAGCGCTGGCTGGCTTCACAGTTGAAGAGCCTACTTCTGCAAGGGTTCCCCTTGCGGAGCTGGCAGGATCTTCGTCAAAGCATTTAGTCTCTTCCCAGGATCCTACTCCAGATCACCAGGCCCCTCCCCTGGGCTGTGGCTTCTCCCGGCTCCGCCCCTCAACCTAGCCAATCAAAGCTGGTCCTTGGCTGGGCTCCACCCCAGAGCATTTCGGCTCCTCCCCCAAACACTGGCTCCATCCCCAGAAGGTTCCTACCCCAGAAGTGCTCAGAGGCACCCAAAGTGGTGCAGAGGTGTAAGAGGCTCATCTAGGTACTAGAGGCCCTCCGCCTCTGTCCTCCCAACTCAAGAGACCTGGCTGGGTGGCGGGGACATCGAGGTTCACTGCCACCTGGCAGGTGGGGCGCCCGAGAGAACTGCGGCTGCGTCTACCGCCTTCGGGTCCGCCTCTTGGACGCGTACGAAAATGAAGTGGTCAAGTTCTCGGCATCACCCAACCCAGTGCTTCAGTGGACTGAGAGGAGCTGCCGACAGGTGGGTCCACGCCGCATTCCCGCTCACCCAGACCTGCTTTGAGGTGCACAAACCCAATCTGTTACCCTGCTGTGTTGTGGCGCTCAGCTGTCATTGGTACTGGCTACCTGTAGTCATAGCTAGCAATTATGGAGCACTTTCTACACCACCTCTCAGGCCTGTTCCAAGAAGTTTACAGATTAATTCACTTCCTTAGCACAACAGCCACAGACACAGCTGTGTGCAGAAAACTGCTAAAGGAGCTGTAATGCAGTGACGAACCAAATCTCTTGCCCTATCCCCATCTAGAAACTGAGGGCCAGGTAAGTGCCTGCCACAGTCACATTGAAGGCATGCAGGGCCTCGTTCAGGCACTGGCTCACCCCTAAGCCTGTGGTGTCACAATCATTACACTTCAAATATCAAAGTTACCTTCTAGGTAGCCTCTTGGTTTCACTCCTCACCTCTTCCCCTACGACCCCAAAGCAAAGCATCCAGAGGATCCTACTAATATCTGAGTCATCGCGCACTTCTCTGCTTGTAACCCTCCCTTGGTTACATCTCAGCAGGAGTCAAGCCCATGATCACCGAAGGAAATAAGGGACTGGGACGTGGCTCATAGTAGAGGGCCCTGGGTCCCACCCCCAAGGCCTGGTCTGTGCCACACAGGGATGAACTTTGAAAATGTTACGCTATGAGGAAGGATATGAAATGTCCACAACAGGCGAAGCCAGGAGACGCAGAGTAGATTAGTGGTTGCCAGGGGCTGAGAGAAGGGGGGAACTGGAAGTAATGGCTGATGGATTTTCTGGGGTGATGGAAATGTTCCAGAATTAGATAGTGGTGATAGTTGCATAACAATATACTAATAATCACTCGATTGTACACTTTAAGATGGTGACATTTATGTTTCATGAATTTTATCTCAATTTTAAAATTCAAAAAAAAAAGCCAGAGTCTTCTTGTAGCCCACAAGACCTGCCATCATCTGCCCATTACTTCCCTGAGCTGGTCTCCTAGTTCTTCCCTCACTCTGCTGCAGGCATGCTCCCACCTCAGGGCCTTTGCATGGCTGTTCACTGTCTAGAACACTCTTCCACAGCCCCACATGGCTCCCTCCTCTCCTTCAGATATCCACTCAGATGTCACCTCGGGGAGGCTCTCGCTTGCTTTGCTCATGTGTCCATCACTCTCTTAGCAGGATGCCCTCTACCCACCTGTCTCCAGTGTCTGCCCCTTAACAGGTCATCTTCAGGGCATTAACAGGGCAGGGGCTTCCCGCTGCCGGCCTCACTGCTGTGCCCATGCACTCAGCACAGGGCCCGGTGCCTACTGTGTGCCTGGGCAGTGAGTATGCAGAGGCTGAAGAGGAGCCCGGCCCTCACCCTCTCTCCTTTTCCTGTAGGTCTCCCATGTATTCACCAACTTTGGCAAGGGCATCCGCTATGTGTCTTTTGAGCAGTACGGGAGAGACACACGTTCCTGGGTGGGGCACTATGGCGCCCTGGTGGCCCACTCCAGCGTGAGGGTCAGAATCCGGCTTTCTTAGCTGGCAGCACGACCCTGCCTTCCAGGACACACTGCCATATGCTGCATGTCATCAAAATCAAAAGTGGCTTTGCAGCCCTGAGCCCAAGGATGCCCAGACACTGAGAGTCCCATGGCACCCATGTGGTGACCTTCATGCTGTGACAAGCCAAAACTCAACAGGTGCTTCATAGCTTGCTGAGCTCCCCAGGTGGGAAATGTCACGGACTGGAGGCGTTTAGTTGGTTTATGTGCCTGCAAGCTGTTCCTTCAGAGGGGGCCATCACTGGGTAAACTGAGTCAAGAAACGAAGGTCAAAACCGCCTTTATGATGGGGGGGAAAGCTGCTGATCAGGGAACGGTGACTCTTGTCTATGTGTTTTTGGAGTGAGTCAAAGGAAACCCTGTTGCTTTGGGGTTTCTGGGATTTGGCTGTGGGGCCCTGTAAGCAGCCATGTCAGCACGGTCTAGCCCACCCCTTTCAGCCAGGTGCCTGTCATCAGAATTCTCCAAGGCCAGTCCCCACCCTTACCTCCTGCTGGATGACACCCTCCTTCCCCCTCAAGCGTGCCGTCCTGCATGGGGACCTGACACAAGGCGCAGCTATGGGAAGCACCCCAGTCCAATTCCCTGAATGTCACCCAGCAGGGCTCAGCCACCCAACTAGCCCAATAAAATTGGTGTTAAGTATTGGGTGATTTGTGCTTCTTGTTTTTACCCCGCACTTGATTCCTCCAGCACTCAAAACCACAAGCTCAGGAGTTTGCATGCCAAGTACCTCCGCCCCTGAGTTTCCAGACCCAGGGACACCTATGATGTGCCCAGCAGATGAGATCCTCACAGTTCTCAGGTAGGTATGCTCAATACCATGTAGTCCAGGCACAGCCAGCTTTGTCTGCTTGTTTTTGTTACTGAGGATCGAACTCGGGACCTTGCTCTTGCAAGGCAGGTGGTGGAACCACTGAGCTAAATTCCCAGCCCTTGTTTTTTTTTGAGAAAGGGTCTCACAATGTAGTCCAGGAAGCCCTTGAACTCCTGATCCTCTCACCTCTGCCTCAAGTGCTAGAATCACTGGCGTGAGCTACCACGCCCAGAGTAGGTCAGCATTTAAATGACCTAGCCACGTCACTGGGCCAGTAAGCAGAGATGGGGCTCGGGCCAGAGTTGGGCTCCAGAGCCCAGTGACAGAAGCACAGCCTCCAGTTCAAAAGCAAACATGGCCAAATCTTGTGATCACACAATTCTGATGTTCAGAATTACCCTCAGTGGCTGGGTGTAGTGGTACACACCTGTAATCTCAGCACTTGGGAGGCTGAGGCACTTGCGAGCCTGGGCTACACAGTGAGTTCAAGGCCAGCCTGAACTAAGGGCCATGGATTTAGCCTAGTGGTTCTGGCCCCTGCCTTACAAATGCAAGGACCCATCAGAACTACCCTCAGTGCCATTTCCAAGGGAGGAAATAGAGGCCCTGAGCAGGGGACTATTATAACCAGCTCACAAGGCAGTTAGGGGTGCAGCCAGCACTTGAGTCCAGCTGTGTATCAGATAATATCCAAGAACAGCTCTCAGCTTGAAGCACCCCATTTAACCCTTCCAACATGTGTTGTATAACAACCGTACAACTGCTGCCATTTCCCAGATGACCACACTTGGGGGCAGCTACACAGCAAGGCCATCCATGTTGCCCATCAGGATCCAGAGTTTAAAGCCAAGCGACACACTGGCACTGTGCACACGGCGTGTAACCTCTTCTTCACCAAACAGCCACTTTCTGGGAAGAGAAAACTGAGGCCAAGAGAGGGTGGCAATGGCACCACCACACAACCACACGCAGGGCAGATAGCACTCCAGAGAGTCACACGGCAACCATGGGGATCTGTGTTTATTACAATCCCTTCCCAGCAGACCTTGATGCTGCAGAATAAGCCCCTCTCACCAGCACTGAACCCTGACCGCAAGGGGATTAACAGGGGGAGCTCTTTCTAGTCCACATCCAGAAGCCCAGTGAGCTCGTGGGGGGTCCTCACGGAAGAGGCAAGGCTCAGGTTTGCTGCCTCCCGGAGCAAGAAGGGTGGTTTCCTAGGCCCTGCTGGAGCCCGAAGAGGAAGGTTCTTTTGCTGCTGGGAGCCGGGCCCCGTGCCCACCGGTCACTTCTTCTTCTGCACGTGGCCGCAGTCGTACTTGCCCCGAACAACTTTGAGCTTGACACCGGGCAGGTCCTGGGTGCGGCCACCCTTCACGAGGACCACGTGGTGCTCCTGCAGGGAGTGGCCCTCTCCGGGGATGAAGCAGACCGCCTCTTGGCCCGTGCTGAGCCGCACGCGACAGCACTTGCGGTTGGCCGAGTTGGGCTTCTTGGGCTTGCGGACAAACGTGCGCAGGACCACGCCCTTCAGCTGCGGCCTGCCCTCCGTGGGGCCCAGGCGCCGGGGCTGCCGCTTGGGGGGCCCCAGGCGGTGCATCTGGTTCAGGGTAGCCATGGAGCGGGTGGCCCAGAGCGGGGGAACTAGGGCCAGGCCTGCAGAGAGACCACCGGAAGGGTGGAAGGTGGTTATTATCCCAGCACGTAGATAACAGCATTTGCAACTCAATTTTGGTGTTTTAGGCTTGGATCCAAGCACTTTAAAGGACACATTTGTTTATATCCGGGGTAGTTTTGCATAATAGTAACAACTGCTTATGTTTATTGAACCACCACAGTGTCAGGTTCTGCTTTAAGCCTTTTACGTAAATTAACTCACAGTATTCTTCAAAGAAGGTACTAATTTGAATGCTGTTCGGAAATAATGAAATTGAGCAGAGCAGCCACATCATACACCCATTGATGCCACCCCTGCAGCAGCCCTGTGGGGGATATCTGGTCACCTCTCCTCTCCAGCCCACGTCCAGCCTGTCAGTTCTGCTCTCCATACAGTCAGAAGCCACCGCCTTCTCCCTCCCCTGCTAGGCCACCTTGGGCCATTCCACCTTTGTCTCCAGCTGGACAGTGGCACCCTCCTCCTCCTCCTCCTCCTCCTCCTGAGCTCCCAGCTCTGACTCCCAAACACACAGCCAGAAGGAGCAAATACTAGATGCAGATCACCCCTTCCCTTCTCAGAGCTGCCTGTGACTCCATCTCAGGAGAAAGGATAAAGTTCTTCACACCCAATCTGCCAGTGATTCCTCTGATCTTAGTTCCCCACTGATCTCTCACTCTCACTGTTCTAGCCTGGGGCCCCCAAAACACCAACAGAGAGGATACCAAGGTGGCTGCAGAATACTGAGGAAAGGCAGGCGGGGTAGGAGAAGGGATTTCAGCTAAGGGGATTTGTTCATAGACTGTACGCAGCTGCACGAAAATGCAAAGACAACTGGGTTCTTAGAAACATTGATTGAGCACCCAAGGAGTCTAAGCCACAGTGATGGGGACACAGCAGGGACTGAGAACACTGGGCCCTACGCATGATCTTGAGCTCTGAAGTTACAGGATCATCTCTATCCATCTCCTACTCCTCTCACTGCTGTTCAAACAGATGTCCTGCCAGCTCCCCAACCTTACAGTCCCCTCCAAACCCAGGCCCCACAGTATGCCTTCATGTCTCCTTTTGTCTACAGTGATGCTGAATTCTTTTTCCCCACTTTATTTTTTGAGACAAGGTCTTACTATGTAGATCAGGTCAGCCTTGAACTCACACTATGGCTTCAAACTCATGAGCTCCTGCCTCAGCCTCCTGAACGCTGGGGGTTCCTGGCGTGCACCACCACGCCCAGCGACAGCGGAATTCTCAAAGCTGAGACATTTCTAGAAGTGACTCTGCCTAACACCATGCCCCTGAACAAGACTCTTGGCATCTGTGACTCATTTTCCTCACCTACATCCTGGGCACCATGATTTCGTCTCCCTCCTCGGTGCCATGTGAGGCTACTATGAAGTATTACATGTCCAGTGAGCCCTGATTACCAAAGCAGGGAGGAGGCCTAACTTGCCCACCCTTGTGATCTTTGCTGAGTGACAAGAGTGTGTTTAAGGAAGGTTTTCAGAGCACACAGGGGAATGAAATATTTCCCGCAGGCAACGGCCCAAGAGAAGCATTTGATGTCTCAGGAAAGTACCACACACTGGGAGGTTGAGGCAGGAGGATCTCAAATTTGAACCAAACCTGGGCAACTCAGTGACCTAGTGAGACAGTCTCAAAATTTTAAAAATTCTTTAAAAAATTAAAAAGCTAGCGATGTAGTTCAGTGGTGAGGCCCTGGGTTCGACCTCTAGAAGAGAAAAGAAAGAACATACATAAAGCTACTTCAGTGTCTGGCACATACTAGGCTCTCCAAAAACATCAGCCGGATAAATGACTATAAAGCATTGCTTGGATGTCTTACCCACGGGAGGGAATCAATAAATACCTGCTGAAAGAATAAACGGACGCGCGACGCTGTATCACGCAACATGCTGTGAGAAGTGTGATATTAGCAGATTTCTTGTGCAGTCATCATACGCTACACTCATAAACACTAAGACTGGCAGGACTTCACCACACGGAACAACCCTCAACCTCGTTATGCAGGGCATGACCATCATCACCCCAAACTGCTACAGGTACAATTATCTTCAATGCAGCTACTTTTCACCTCTTGTCTTGCAGCCCGATCTCTGCCAAAAACTACCGTGGAGCCACCTCTGATTTAAAATCCATGATTCCATGATTATCGCGTCCCAGACGCGATAACTCTCATCCAGCCTCGTCCCTGCAGCCAGACCTCCCCACTTACCACGACTTAGGGACGTGTTGAGACCACGGAGAAGGCTAGACCAGAACATCCCGTCTTCCTGGTGTGTCCCTGTATTAGGGATAATAAGAGACCCGGGAAAGAGGAGGAAAAGTGGCTTGCAGTCGTCGAAGACCCAAATTCCTAAGTTCTTTTAGAGATCTAACCGTGACTCTTTATGCTATTAACAGAAAGTCCCTCCGCAAAGTTAGCCTAGCTCTAACTAGGCTCTGGGGACGCAACTGATCCCGCCTGCATATAGGAGAAAAGTCTTAACCACGGGGAGAGCCGGGGAGATTTGAAGGGTCAGAGGAAGCCACCGACCTCAATGAACGACACTAGCAGGGTCTGAAGCCAAGCCGAATTTTGCCTCCACCCCTTTCCGGTGGGGGGTTACTCGGGCAGAGATTGGCTGGTTCTTCTAGGAGGCCACAAAAAAGGGCGGGACACACACGACGATTGGGCAAAAACAGAGTCTATCTCAGTCAATTTTCCTCAGTGAACTCTTTCTGAGGCTCCGAGACGGCGATATCTTCCAGAGTCTGATTGGTTTACTCCAGCAGATTGGCTGCTTTACAATTGGTCTAAACAAGGAGTAGGCGGGACAAGGGGGCTCGTGCTTCCTCGTTTCCGATCCAAGATGGCTGCGTCCATGGCGCGGCGCTTGTGGCCTTTGCTGGCTAGTCGGGGACTTAGGCTCCGGGGAGACTGCGTCTACGGGCAGAGCCCAGGGATAAGTTCTGCTACAAAGAAACGAGACCGGAACCTCCTGTACGAGCACGCACGCGAAGGCTACAGTGCACTACCTCACCTGGACATGGAGCTGCTGTGCGCATGCCCAGAAGAGGTCGCGCGCGCTCTGGAGCTCCGCAAGGGGGAGCTGCGACCCGCGGATCTGCCGGAGATTGTGAGTGCGCTTGCGCGGCTGCTGACTTCTCAAACTCAACTAGGTTCCGGAGAGGAAGACTATCTGCAGGAATTGTAGTTCCTTCCAACGTTGGCCAGTGTCTTGAACATGGCATCCGCTTATGTGTCAGTTGGCCGCTGAGGGTTAGGGATCTCCTATGTGCGAAGGATACCTTCCGTCGTAATGCGCGCTGAGTACCTAGTGTGCTCTAGGGACCTACTTTATACAGCGCAGTATACAGTACACATACGTGTAGTGTACATATAGTATGTACAGTACATATGGTATACATGCCTCATGGCATGCTTGAGGAGGAACGGGGCATGAATCAGGCGGAGAAGGGTCAGGAGTAGTCTTGCTTCTGGAGAGGTAGAATTCTGTTCCAGTGCCACCAGAAGCAAGCAGTTAGGGGCTGGGGACATCTACTATGTTCCAGTCTTCCAGGGGTTGAGAACAGGTGGAGTAATGAGGACAAAAATCTCTAACATTTCCATAACCATAAACGAGGAAACTAGAACTGGGGTCGTCTTATTTCTTTTTTTTCCCCTGCCCTAGGGGTTGAATCCAAGGTCTTCACCCTGAGCTACATCCCCAGTCTGTTTATTTATACTTAACTCTTTCTTGAGATACAGTCTCACCATGTTGCCTAGATTGGGCTCCAGTTTGTGATCTTTTCTGCCTCAACCTCCCACAGTGCTGGGATTACAGGCATGTGCTACCACACCAAGTTTGGGGTCATCATATCTCTGTGGTAAACAAATATGGTAGAGTCACTAAGTTTTCCTGGTCTACTCTTGGATCCCCCCAACCAGCCTGTTCTAAGTGCTTTTTCTACTCTGGCTTCCATTAATTTTTGCAACAATCCTGTGAATTAAGTGCCATTAGTTCCCCCTCAGTCCATCAAAGGGGAAACTAAAGCTCAGAGAAAAGCTGATAAGTGGCAGAGGAGATTTAAACCCTTGCTGTTTGGCTCCAGAACCCACAGTCTGAACTACTCCATTATGCTCTACCATGAGCAAGATGAGCTGAGTTCACTGTCTAGTAAAGGAGAGATATTTCACATACAGTTATAACTGTGTACTCGAACTCTGATAAGGATTGTAATGGTAAGGTACACCTAAGGCGGCTTCTTGGAGGAGGTGGCTGGCATTAGGCAAAGATCTATAGACTGAGTGAGAGCCAGGGCTGGCATTAGGCAAAGATCTATAGACTGAGTGAGAGCCAGCAGAAGAAGGGAGAGGAATGTCCCAAGGGGAAGGGGATCAGCATTTACAAAAGCCTAGGGCTGGAACGTTCCATTTGGTAGACGAGTAGGTAATTTAGTGTCACAATCTTTAGTAGGGTTTTTAGTCATTGTGGCCAAGAATAAGGAAGCATTTCGACTCTTGGCCCAGGACACATACCCACAATTGAAACCAAGGTTTCATCTTACCATAGATGGATGCAGTCTTATTTTTTAAAATTATATTCTCTTTCATTTTAAAAAAAATTTTAATGTTTTTTTTGTTGGTTAGATTTTTGAGACAGGGTCTCACTCTATAGTTCATGCTGGCCTTGAACTCACTGTGTAGCCAAGGCTGGCTTCAAACTTGCAGTGATCCTCCTGCCTCAGCCTCCTGAGTGTACCACCACACACAGCTTAGAAATCCTAAATTAATGTTATAACTCATTGACTGCTTGGGCTGCTGTAACAGAAAACCATCAACTGGGCAGCTTCTAAGCAACAGAAATTTATTTCCCTTCACTTGGGAGATTGGGAAGTCCAAGGTCAAGGCACTTGCAGGTTTGGTGTCTGGTTCATAGATGCCATGCTCTCACTATGTCTCATGTGGCAGAAGAGGAAGAGCCTCCTTAATAAGTACCCGGAATCTACTCGTCAGAGGTGTAACCTTGTGGCCTGGGATCTCCAAAAGCTCCAACTCCTAATGCCTTCCCGAGGAGTGGGGATTTGAAAATACGAAGGGGGTGGACATGAGCATTCAGTCCACGGTGCCCATGTTAGGTCACAGCCCGAAGGCTGGAAAGTGCTTCTTCGAGGTTCAGCTCACTTTAGGGCCCATCATCTAGTCCAAGGGGAGTGAGGAAGAATCTAGGATGGCGGCTCATCTGTAAGGAGGTGACCCAAGAGTCACACTTACCCCTTCCACTCATGTGTGATGGCTGGTCTTAGTCACAACAGCACAAGTGCTGCAAAGGCAGCTGGGCCGTGTGCCATGCCCGCCTCAGCATCAGGGAGTTCTTGTCCTGAGGGACGAGGGGAGAGTGGCTCATGGGAGCCCATGAGGGTCTCCAGTTCAGCACCTGTAGGGCCAGGTGGCCCCAGGGATGAGGTTCCAGCAATAACAAGCATCTTTCCCTCCTCTGTCCACCCACAGATCTCCACATGGCAGGAGCTGAGGCAGCTGCAGGAGCAGATCCGGAGCCTGGAGGCCGAGAAGGGCACTGTGGCGGAAGCTGTGCGGTCCCTGCTGGTGAGCAAGAGTCCTGAGCAGGCAGGGGCAGCGGTGGGGGCACCTCTGGCCACAGGCAACAGGACCAAGTTTAACTCACTTGAACCACAGGGACAGTCATCGCTTCACATACTGGCTGCCGAGGGTCCCCAGTGTCCCTAGAGTTGATTAGTTACCAGCTGCTGCCAGCATCTGCAGCCACATTCTCTCCCTTTCTCTGTGCTGGCAACTTCGCTACATTGATCCCTGAGTTTCTGGTCCTGATTCCAAGATGGCTGCCATAGGGCGGCAGCTCCTCCTGTGACTCTGCCACAGGCAGAGAGCAGGGACTTCTTGGGCTCTGTGCCTTTTCCAAGAGCAAGAACACTGTTCCCCAAGGGGAATCTCCTTGCATCTCCAGGGCCCAGATGCCCCCCATGCCCGTCACCAGCCAGAGGCATGGAGTTGCTTTTGTGGCTTAGAGCTGGTTAGCCTCAGGCTGGGCCCACATTACTGAGCTGTGGGGAAGGTAAATGAGTCAGAAGTTATGGGGAAGAAAAAGAGGATCCTGCATTAGACAACCCAGCAATATCTATTACGAAGGGTTTAAAAGCAGTCACTTAAAAAATCTAGCCAAGCTGGGTGTGGTGGCACACACCTGCAATCCCAGCACTCAGGAGGCTGAGGCAGGAGGATCACTGTGAGTTTGAGACCAGCCTGGGCTATATAGTGAGTTCCAGGTCAGTCTCAACTACACAGTGAGACCCTGTCTCAAAAAACCAAAAAAATTAAAAACAAATCTAGCCAAGCCAGGCATCATGGTGTACATGTATAATCCCGGTATTTGGGAGACTGAGGCAGGAGGATCACCGTGAGTTTGAGGCCATCCTGAGCTACATAGTGAGTTCAATGCCTGCCTGAACTACATAGCGACACCCTGTCTGAACCAAAAAAATCCTATGAGAAATGTGGTCAATATGTATGACAAATATATACTCATAAAAAAAATAAAGTTTAAAAATAAAACATCCAGCCTGGCACACCAGATGCTACACACCTATAATCCCACCTCCTGAGGAAACTGAGGCAAGAGGATCGCAAATCCTAGCCCAACCCAGGCAACTTAGCAAAACCCTGTCTCAACATGAATAAAAAGGTCTGAGGACCAGCCTAGCACCCCAGCTCAGGGCTCCCAGGGTTCCATCTCCTGCACTTGCAGCTGTTCACTGCAGTCCGTGCTTTCCAGAGTCAGTCTGCACTCTGCAGGAACAGACAGATCTAGCTTTACAGTTGGGGCCCTACGTCCTGCAGTCAGGAAGTGGGAGAGGCGGACCCGTGCCCATGCGTGTGGGTTACTGTCCCCCACTCCTCAGAGGCCCCTGCCACCACCAGGCCCAGCTCCCCGAGTGCTGGGCCCTGGCTATGCCTGTCCAGGCCAGCAGCCAGTAAAAACAGCAGCACTGCAGCACTGTTACCCGGTGAAGCTGCAGCCTTGAGGTGGGGGGATTGTCCCACCTTCCAGACCTCCCAGGCGGGGACACCCAGGCCCCAGGGAGTGGGGAGGATGTGCCTGAGGGCTCATAGCTGGTAGGTGCTCGGGCCCACATCCTGATTGGCTCAGCGGCTCAGGCCCATGGGAGGTTCTGAATGTCAAGGGCCTTTGGCAGCCGGCCTCCCAGTCGCTCTCGGGCCTCCCCTCTCCGGCCTCGGTTTGCTTACGTGTGAATGGGGCTCCGTGGCTGAAGAGTGGGTCGTGGCGCAGGAGACAGTGTCCTCACCCACCCCAGGTCCTTCGTGGAAGCAGCGCACTGTACACTGCTCCATCACCTTGCCCTCCTAGCTGCTTCAACAGGGAAACTGAGGCACGGAGTGGTGGAGGGTGCTGACCGAGCCGGAGATCCAGATCCGCTGCCTTGTTTGACCTTTCACCACACCCCACAAGTTTATCAGCCTGGTCCTTACCCTCCCCATCTCTCCTCTGTCAGGTGAACCAGGACCACAGTCAAGTTCAGCAGGTACGGGGGGGGGGATGTCTTGTTCCACGTGGGGTGGGACGGGTCCGGAGATCCAGATCCGCTGCCTTGTTTGACCTTTCACCACACCCCACAAGTTTATCAGCCTGGTCCTTACCCTCCCCATCTCTCCTCTGTCAGGTGAACCAGGACCACAGTCAAGTTCAGCAGGTACGGGGGGGGGCATGTCTTGTCCCAGGTGGGGGGTGGGCAGGGTGGCTACTGTATCAGTCACCATTCTTTCATTGTAAATGACAAAAATTACAGCACAAACAAGTGTAAGAGGAAAAGCAAAAAGCAGGCTGTCTTGGCTCAGGAAACTAAAATGGCTGGCTTCGGGTATAGCTGGACCCAGGGCCTAGCCCTGTGTTTAGCTCTGTTTCCTTCCCTTCGCCCGGCTTTCTCCCCTTGTGGAAGGCATAGGTAGGACCCAGCATGCTTTTCTGAGAGCTCCCGCCAGAGTCCTGAGACTGCTTCTCATGAGTTCAGCAGGGGTCACATGCCTGTCACTGAGCCAATCCTAGAAGCCAACACAACAGAATGTTCTAGCTGTGCAGGCCTGAGCCCTGACCCCAGGAACCTGCCACATGTTGGTGAGGGGATTCTGGAAAGGAAATTCTGGTTGCTGGACTGAAAGAAGAGCCAACCGAGGTCCACCCCAGGGGTTCTGCCAGTGAGGACTGAGGTCCAGTTGAGGGGTCCCAGCTTGCCCTGGGCTGACCCCTTTGTGCTGTCCCCAGGACCCTCAGTATAAGGCCCTGCGGGCGCGTGGCCGGGAGATCCGGAAGCAGCTTGCGCTGCTGTACCCCAGGGAGGACCAGCTGGAGGAGCAGTTCTACCTGCGGGCGCTGAGGCTGCCTAACCAGACCCACCCGGACGTGGTGAGCATTAAAGGGGCGACGAGGGGCCTTCTTGGCACCTCCTCCCCATGACGCCTCCATCTTCCTGTCGCTGCAGCCCGCCGGGGATGAGAGCCAGGCCCGCGTGCTGAAGGTGGTCGGAGAGAAGCCAGGTGGGCCATGCCATAGCTGCGCACAGCTGGGGTTGGGTGTGGGGGCTCCTGGGGCCTGGGGGGCAGCTGCAGCCTTTTGAGATCTGGGCCCGTGGGCGGTGCCGCCATCTTCCTGTCTCCTCCTCTGGGCGCTCGCCTGTGCCTTGTGCGCAGGCTCTCTCTTCCCTGCCTGTGTCCCTTTCCCGCCTCTCTGCTCTGCTGTTCCTCTCTCTTCACCTCTGCACCCTTTCCCCAGCCGCACCCCTGCCCTCTTCTGCCCCTTTGCCTTTCTTTGTCCTCTTCTCTCCTTTCCCCCTTCTCCCCTTCTCTCTCCCTGCCTCTCTCTCCCTTTCTGTCTGGCTCTTGCCCTCCCGCTGTTTCTGATGCTCTGTTTCTATCTCTGTCCCATCTCCCCCTTCCCCTCTCCCCATTGCTTTTCACCCACATCCAGCTTTCTCCTTCGAACCTCTGGGCCACCTGAAAATCGGCGAGAAACTTGACATCATCCGGCAGAAGTGAGCTCCCTCCGCCTTCCCGCTCCCCACCGTAACAGCTGCCATGCGGACCTGCACCCGGGGCCTTGGCCGGAGATGTGCAGATGCCAGGGCCGCACCCAGCATGAATGTTTGATGCCGACCGCACCTGGCAGCTGGGCTTCTGCCCCAGGTGCCCGAGTCCCTGTTGCCCCTACCAGCCCTGCCCATATGCAATTGTCTGTCTGTCTCCCCATCTGTCCCCAGGCGCCTGTCACACGTGTCGGGCCACCGCTCCTATTACCTGCGTGGCGCAGGGGCCCTCCTGCAGCATGGCCTGGTCAGCTTCACCCTCAGCAAGCTCGTCGGCCGGGTACCGCTGGGCCGGGAGGGCTGTGTGGGCCGGGCAGCAGTGACCCTGAGTTTGGAGGGCTCCAGAAGAGGAGGGCTTTGTGTGTATTAGGGAGCTTCATTCTTAGGATGATCTTAGCAAGTGGGTGCTGATCCCCACTTTAAGGGGAAATCGAGGCCTCGGGCTGGGGTTTCAAGGCCTGCACATTAACCACCCCTCACTGCTTACCTAGGGTGTGAGGGAAGCTCTGTATCTACGAGGAGTCAGCAGGCTGGCCGTGTGGGGCACTGGCCATGGTCGGGGAGTCAGACATCTCCCCATAATCTGGAGGGCACCGGGGGCCATGGGAGGCTCAAGCAGGGGCATGACGTGGCCAGAACTCTACCTACCCAGGAACTGGAGCCTGCAGCACTATAGCCCTGGTCACACAGACCCCAGAAACCTGGCCTGACTCAGTGTCTTTCACTGAGGGAGGGGAGTAACTCAAGTGACGGGGGATCAGCTCTGCCCTGTACCTCACTGACCCCTCCCACAGGGCTTCACCCCCATGACGGTGCCAGACCTGCTCCGTGGAGCTGTGTTTGTGAGTGAGCCTCGCACTGTGGGGCGGCTGCCCTGGGATGGGGGGCTCCAGGCGCTACCTGGTAAGTCTGGGGCTGCAGACAGGAGGCCAAAGCTCCCCCCATCCCGGGCTCCCCCCAGGAAGGCTGTGGGATGACACCAAATGCCAGCCGGTCCCATGTGTACAGCATCGACTCCTCCCGCTTTGAAGACCTCCACCTGGCTGGGACAGCAGAGGTGGGGCTAGCAGGTAAGCACCCCCAGGGTGGTGGGGTGGAGGGCAGGAGAGATTGTGGGGGACAATAGGAAGCATTCCTGGGGACAGCAGGCAAAGCTGCCTGCCATGCCTGCTCAGCTGGGCATGGTGGTGCACACCTGTAATCCTGATACTCTGGGAAGCTGAAGCAGGAGGATTCCAAGTCTGATTCCAGCCTGGGCAATTTAAACTCTGTCCCAAAATAAAAATTTAAAAAGGGTTGGGGATCTAGATCAGTGGGAAAGCACTGAGTTCAATCCCCAGTACTATTAAAGAAAAAACAGTTGTGTAGGTTGTTCACTGCAGAACACTATGGTGACAGGCCAGCAGTTGCTCTTACACAGGGTTGCGGCTTCTTGCAGGTGACAGCCCTCCTGACCATCCTGTCCCTTCTCTTCCTCCCAGGCTATTTCATGGACCACAGTGTGGCCCTCAGGGACCTGCCAGTCAGGTGACACCCAGTTCCTTTAAACCCTGTCTCCACCGTGACATTCACTCTGCCCTCCCTGACCCACCCTCGCCTACCACCCCCCAGGATGGTCTGCTCCAGCACCTGCTACCGGGCGGAAACCGACACCGGGAGGGAGCCGTGGGGGCTCTATCGGGTGCACCACTTCACCAAGGTCAGTGGGGCTGGGACTGTAGCAAGGGCTCGTCCAGGCCACCAGGCCTCCTGACTGCTGCGTCCCCACCCGCCCAGGTGGAGATGTTCGGGGTGACAGGCCCTGGGCTTGAGCAGAGCTCCCAGCTGCTGGAGGAGTTCCTGTCCCTGCAGGTGGAGATCTTGACAGAGCTGGGTCTGCACTTCCGGTGCGGAGAGGGTCGGTGGGTGGGCGGAGGGCGGGGCAGGATGGCCCAGGTGCTCCCCTGCGTAGCCTCCTTTGTCCTGCGCGAGGATAAAGACAGGGTGGGACATCCACAGGGTGGGACATCCGTGCAGGTCTGCAGTGAGGCCCTCCCACAGGTCCCCATCCAGGCCAGCTCTGCACACCAGCCTCTTTGGCGGCCAGTGGGAAGCGAGGGCAGAGAAGGGACGAAGCCCTCATCCTCGCTCACCCCATCAGGCACTCGTAGCTTTTGAAAGAGGTCAGGAAAGGTGGACTTTTTTTCTGGGTGATCCAGCTAAAAACTGGAGGTGCTATTCTGTTATTTTATTTCCAGTATTAGGGATAGAACCCAGGGCCTCTGGGCTGAGCTCCACCCCCAGCCTTTATGTTTATTTTGAGATAGGGTCTTGCAGGGTCATTAAGGTGGAGGATCCTGACAGAGTTCCAGGCTCACTCAAGCCTCTTGATGAATTCAAGGCTAGCCTAAAACTACATAGCAAGATGTTTCAAAAAGGCACAGAAGGGACCAGGGATTTAGCTCAGTGGTTCCACCGCCTGCCTCACAAGCGCAAGATCCCAAGTTTGATCCCCGGTACCAAAGAAAAAATCCCAGGCTGGGCTCAGACTTACAGTCCTCCTGCCTCAGCCTCCAAAAGTGCTGGGTTACAGGCATGCTATGGGGTGCTGCTCTTACAGCAGGGGAGCAGCCTGCAGACTCCTCCATCCGCCTTGCTGTCACTGCTGCCTTCTCCTCCACCCTGTGTCACCTCTTCCCCTTCCGCACTGTCCTCGCCTCCCTTCCCTGCCTCTTCCCTCTTCTCCGCCTGTCCCCTCACCCCTGCCAGGCTTCACTGTGCTTCTGTCCCCGGCCGCAGGGTCCTGGACATGCCCACCCAGGAGCTGGGCCTTCCCGCCTACCGCAAGTTCGACATTGAGGCCTGGATGCCCGGCCGTGGCTGCTTTGGAGAGGTGAGCCCTGCCCAGGGGAGCGGGGAGGACAGGCCTCCCGCCGACCCACGGCTAAGCCACTCGGTCCCACCCGCCCCAGGTCACCAGCGCCTCCAACTGCACAGACTTCCAGAGCCGCCGCCTGCACATCATGTTCCACACTGAGGATGGGCAGCTGCGCTTCGCCCACACGGTGAGGCCTGGGCACCCCCACCCTCCTGCCCGCTGGCCTTACCCCTCCCACGTCCCCCAGGCCCTAGCAAGCCTAGCTCTCCTCCCTCCCAGGTAAACGCCACAGCCTGTGCTGTGCCCCGTGTCCTCATCGCCCTGCTGGAGAGCAATCAGCAAAAGGTGAGGGGTCGGGGGTTGTCTGGGAGGCGAGGCTCGAGGGCTGGGGTGGTGGCAGCAACCTGAGGCCTGTCTGTTCCCAGGATGGCTCGGTCCTCGTGCCCCCTGCCCTTCGGCCATACCTTGGCACCGATCGGATCACAGCTCCCTCCCACGCCCCTCTCCAGTACATCGGTCCCAACCAGCCACAGAAGCCCAGGCTCCCCGACCCGCCAGCATTGGGCTGAGAGCCGCCCACGCCCATCCCTGGGTGGTCGCTGCCTCCTGGAGCTCCAGAGGCCCCACACAATGGGCCTCTTCCTGGGCACATCTGACACCTGTGTTCCTCATACCAGCTCCACGCCTGGGCACCAGGACCCCGCAGCCCACCCTCCTGCTTCCCTGTCCCTCAGTCAGCAGCCCTGCGGTCCTGGGAGCCACCCAGAGGGCTTGCGAGGATGCCGACTCCCCACGCGTCTCCCAGCACAAGCCAGGCAGTCACCGCAGCAGTTCTGGCCCCAGACCTGTCCAGATCTGTCCTCCACGTGCTTCCCACTCTGCACCCGGCTTGTTAGCAGCCCCAGCAGCTCCCTTCAGAACTTCCGGCATCTTCTCTTGGGCCGCTCTGTGGGTCCCGTCTACTTGATCCTTACTTGGGTGTCGCAGAAGCCTCATCACGGTCTCCCTGCTCCTTGTGAGCACCTAAGACAGAGCAAGGCCTTCCCCTGCCTAGAGTTCCCCCTCAGCTCCGTCTCAGAGAAAAGGACAAGGCTGTCCTGATCTCTGCATCTGTCCTCTGTGAGTTCCCCACCATCATGTCTGCCTTCACTGCATAAAATGTATTTATGTGAACGTTGTCTCTCCCCTTCTCCATATCTGCTCCATGAAGGCTGGGTGCTGGGCAGTTTGTACGCTACTTTAGCTCCACAGCCTAAGAAAAGAGTTGGCATGTTATAGGTGCTCAATAAAAGTTTTCTTGAATGGGGCTAAGGATGTAGCTCAGTAGTAAAACACTTGCCTGCATTCACGAGACTGCATTCCATCCCCAGCACTGGAGTGGCGTGGATCTGTGCAGTTCCCAAGGTAGCGCACTGCCCTAAACACTGCACATTTTGCTTCTGCCTCACACAAGCTGCAGTAGGGTCATCATCAACCCTTTTGATAAATGAGAGAAGCCAGGCAGCTGTCTCTGGGCTGTGCACTGCCCGAGTGCTGGAGCTCGGCACTCAGGCCAGAACCCCACTCCAGCCTCCGAGGAAGTACTTCCCAGATGAGAAAGAGCACAGAAAGGAGCTGGGCACGAATGAGCAATGGCGGGTGTGCGTGGCTCGGAGCCCAGGTGAGCTCCTTGCCATCTGCAGGGTGCTCCAGGCAAGAATCCGGAGGGGCACATGAATAATAAAGGGCCGTGGGCAGGCTCACCATCCTGCAGCTGTCCTGTGCTGCAGGTGGAGAGGGGGTGGCCGCAGCGTCGCTTCCTCCTCGGGGCCACCGCAGGGGTTATAAAGCGCTGGCAGCAGCCAGAGTGGAGCACCTGGATCCGGATGCCCCACCATGGCGCGCTACATGCCCTTCCCTGGACTCTTGCTGCTGCTGGGGGCCGGTGAGTGCCAGACACTGGGCCAGCAGGGTCGGACGGCCGGGTTGGCCTGTGAGGGGCTGGGTTGTCCGGGGAACTGGGGTCAGTACCGAGGACAGCGCCTGTCTCTTTCTGCCACAGCCACTGCTGCGCCCCTGGTACCCACACACAAGGGAGAGGTGAGAACTGTGGACCCTCTGCCCTGGCGTACCCCGCGGGGTCCCCTTCCTGCCCAGCCTCCATGATCCTCACCACCTTCCAACCCTCCACCCCATTTCCCTTGCCCTCACCCTCCCCTCCAACCCTTCTCCCCTGCCCCCAGCTGACCCGCTGTCTGGCAGAGGTGGTCACGGAGGTGCTGGCCCTGGGCCAGGCCCAGAGAGGACCCTGCACGGCTCTCTTCCACAAAGGTAAGGGGACCCCTGTTCCTCTACAGGGTACCACTCTGCCCAAGTTCTGCCCGGGACGCGCCACCTGCCTTCCTCCCCACCACATAACTGAAGGGGTGTCCAGCACCCCAGCCCCCCGGCCTGTCTGGTGCTCCCACCTGACACAACCTGACCTCCAGCTTCACACACATACCCGGCTCTGTCCCTGCAGAGGGACAGGATGGGGCTGCAAACATCCCCGGCATCTGCCCCCCCCCCCAGTTCTGGGCTGTGGGGCCTCAGGCAGGACTCAGCACTCTTTAGGCCTCAGCTTTCCAGCTTGACAGTGTCTATCTCTTTCTGCCAGAGATATGTAAGACGGAGCCCTACGGCTGTACTTTGCCTGAGGAAAAGGGGTTGTTGCATGGGGACTCCAAGAAGCAGGAGGCTGACAAGACAAGGTCCAGCCAGGAGGTGAGGGATGAGGAAGAGGAGGCAGCAGAGAGCACCCGCAAGTCTGAGGTGCAGGAACAGGCCGTCCTCGAGCAGCTCCACAGCCGGCCCCACCAGGAGGAGGAGGAGAAAGAGGACGAGGCAGAAGAAAAGGGGCCTGAGGAGACCGAGGACGTGTGGAAGAGGCGTCTAGAGGGTGGAGGGGTGGCAGAGAAAGCCAGAGATGAGGAGGCCTCCCAATCTGAGACAGAGGAGGGTGTGCAGGTGCTGGGCGGGGGCCACAGCCTGTGGCAAAGGATGGAGAGGGACGCAGGAGAGAGACAGGAGGACTCGCCACACCATCACCACCACCAGCAGCAGCCAGGCGCCGAGGCCGTACAGGAGGAAGAGGAGGAAGCTTCAGAGCGGGAGGTGAGTGGGGGAGGTGGCGTCACCAGAAACAGCTCCCAGTGTTGGGCCGCACACAGCGAGACCCATCACCAACAGAGCAAAATGGTCCGGCCTGACACAAACTCTCGGTAGCAACATCTAAACGAGGTCTCTGTTGGCTAAAGTGGCTTCCCTCAGGGATTACAGTTGCTGGGAAGGCCACCATTACGAGATCACAGTCACCAGAAAGCCTGCCATTACTGCCCAGAGGCATCCGGGTGAGCCACCCTTGCCGGTCCAGAACCAGCAAGTTGGCCGCCAGGAAAGTGGCAGCTGTGGCTCGTTCATTAGGCTAGAGATTGACACCACTGCCAGGTGATGGAGAGTAAGATGTCACCAGGATTGCTGGCGCTAACTGAAATGGCCATCAGTCACAAATGGAGCACCCCCGTCGGGCACCTTTGTTGGTCCCACACAGCTGTGCACGTAGACCTGACTGCCAGATCACGATGCGGATCACGACTGGGATGCCTGTCCTGGGCTGCCTCCGTGAGAAGGCGCAGGTGCCCTACGGCAGCCTGCCTTTCAGGTAGGCACTGATCACTGCTCTGACCCCACCAGGAACACGACATGGAGCAGCTGGAGCGTGTGAGTGATGAGCTGAAGAAGGCCACTGTGAGGCTGAGACAGGCGCTCAGGAGGGAGGGCTGACCCGCCTCCCCCACCTCCCCAAGTGCCCTTATGGCTAGGACTGGCGCCCCACTGCACCCCCAACCCACAGGGGAGAGAAGAACCCCTTCCTTGGAGCCTTGGAACCGAGCCCAAGGGGGCAATTCTGAGCTGGTGGGGGCTGGGTTCAGACCCACTCAGGAAACCGCTCCAACACCCACCGTACCCCTCCCAGCCTCTGAGTGAATAAAGCACAAAGAAAACCACCAAGGCTTCTCGTGCAGCCCTTGACCTTGGCGGGACAGGGGCCCGGGGATGACCCCGAGGACTGGGAAGGGCACATCAGTCTAGGCTCTGTTGTCAGAATGGAGGTTTTATTAAACTGGCAATTACATTAACAATTAAAACAAATCAGATGGGGTCAGGGTCGTCAGGAAGAGGTGTGGATGCTGGGGCAGGAGGTAGCCTGCTTTGGCTTCGGCCACTGTGGACCACGATATCATCATATTCATCCTAGGGGCAGAGAGGGTGGCAGAGGGGCTCAGGTGGCTGCCACCTTGCCCACTGCCTAAGTCACAACATTGCACAAGCCTGGATTTTCCTTGAAACAGTTCCCCAGCTTCCGGTGCAACCTCCCCATGCCTGGCACTCAAAGCACCCTTTCCAAAGTCACGGCTCCCAGGCCTGTGTCCTCCTACTGCTTAGGCCAGAACTGTGCCTCAAAAGCACTCTGAGGTCCCTCTTCCACCCCTCAGCCTTAACCCCACCATTCCACTCATCCCTTGCCAATGTCCCAGTGCTTGGGTTCTCCGGTCAAATCTCTCACAGCCTGGCAGCTGTGTTCTAATCCTTGCTGCCCAGGTCATCCACCTGCAGCCTGAGATCCCCAACTTTTGTGCCCCCAAATCACTCCCCGTGCCGTGTCCACTCGTCACCCCAACCGGGATCTCTCCACCTCTGCCCGAGTTCTGCCTCTGCCACTGCTTGAGCTTTGCAGTTACCTCTGTCCAAGTTCCTCCTGCCACCCTGCCCAGCACGCCCCTCACTGTCACCGTCACGCCCACGCTGGCTGAGTTCCCAAAGAGCAGCCGCCCAGGTCCGGTGGTCTCGATGTGTCAGTCAGTTATCATCTCGCTTGCCTGGCTGCTGTTTGCCCTCACCCCCAGCTGGGCTGCCCCTGCTTTCCTCCTGACTCACGCCCTCATCTCTGCTGTCACTGTCATCGCTGTCGCTGCTGCTGCTGCTGCAGGGACCAGCCTTCTCATCCTCGTCCTCAGGCTCAGGGGCTCCATGTGCTCGGAGAAGGTGGGCGAGGTCAGCGTTGGGCCGGAGCAGGGCACTGCCCAGAGGGGTGCGGCCCCCGTACATTCGGGCCATGGGGTTGGCACCGGCCCTCAGGAGAAGCTCCAGCACATCAGCTGCTTGTGCCTCCACGGCCAAGTGCAGGGGGCTCCGGCCACATGTGGGCTCCTGTGGGTCACAGCAGAGTTCAGCGGGCCTGATGAGACACACACTACGCGCGCACACTCACCCCTGTAGCTGCTCACCGGTTTGTTGAGGTCCGCTCCAGCATCCCAGAGCACCCGGACCATTTCTGCGTCTTTATGGATGACTGCCACATGGAGTGGCGTGTGGCCTGGGGACAGAGTGACTGGTGTCAGACAATGGGGTAAGGTCCCTGGGCCACCAGTGCTATCACCCTGGGGGCGGACCATCCCAGGTACATCAAAGAGGTGTGGACCTCAGGTGCCTGTTTTTCAGGGGTTCTGAGGGTCCTAGCATGTGCCTGGCAGTGGAATGTATGGGTCCTAAGGGTGAGGAGCCTGGGGTCTTTGAACGGGAGCCCTGATTCTTGGGCCCGGGACACCTGAGCCTCTGGTCTCATTTCACACAGTGTCTGGGACATGAGCAGCTGAAGAGCCCATGACCTGGGTTGGAGGGTGGACTCTGAACACCAGGCACTGCACGACCTCCGTCCATTTGTGGAGGGCCTGGTCTCAGGCAGCTGGGCTTCTTGGTCGGGAGCTGAGACTCAGAAACCAGGGCCTTGGGAAATGGGTCCTTTCCCATAAGGTCTGGAGGAGGAGGCTGCTTACTGGGGCTGGGACCCTGAAGTGCTAGAGTCCCTCAAAGCCTAGGCTTTCAGTCCCTGAGCTCTGAGCGGGCAGTGGCTATGCCATGTGGGTAAGAACAGCAATCCTGGATGGATTGCACCTTGCAGATGGGAGCTTGGGACCGACCACTGGATCCTGGCGGTTCAAGGTCTGGATCTCAAATAGTCTGAAGCCACCATCCTGGATCCCATAGGTTGGATTTTCAACAATCTGGGGCGTCAATGGAGATCTTGGTCTTGATGCCAGGGTCCCTGAAGCCCAGGGATGATTTTCCAAGGGGCTGGGTCTTCAGTTGAAAAAGCTGAACTCAGAGCTGGGTGCCCATCCCTATCGGTACCCAGCCCTACCTGGGTGCCAGGGTCCTTCCCCGACCCTCACCCTCGTAGTTCTCAGCCTCCAGCTGTAGCTTCCAGTTGTCCTCACTGTCCTCCTCCTCCTCCTTGTCCAACTCAGGCTCAGGGTTCAAGGCATCAGGGTTGTGGCTGGTGTCTCGGGCGCAATCTCGGCTCTGTGTGAGGTAGCTATAGGGGGCTTCCCGGGGACGGGGCTGGAGCAGCGCACGTGCACAGGCGGGTGCCTGAACGCGGCAGGCCAGGTGCAAGGCAGTGTGGCCCCCACGCTCCCCGACCAGCAACCCTGCTCCTGCCGCGTACAACTTCTCCACGGTGGATGCCTCCCCTAGGATGGCTGCCAGGTGCAGGGCTGTCTACAGGAATGGAGAGCAGAGGTTAAGGTCATATGGAGGACCCCGGGCCCCAAACCCTGCCCTATCCCCAGTGGCTTACTTGGCCTAGGTCATTCTGCAGGTCCAGGTACTCTGTGCCTGCAGAGAAGCCTAGGAGGAAGTCCAGGAAGGGCTCGTGCTGATGTATCACGGCCAAGTGCAGAGCCCTGGGGACAAAGGCAAGGATCAGGGGCAGAGGTCAGGTATTGTTCACGCTGTAACAAACACGAAGTCACCTACTGTGCACTAAGCATTGTGACCACAGTTCTGGAAACAGCTGTTAATATCTGAGAGGGTCAGAGAGCAGAGTTAATTCAGCGCATCAGTTTATTCAATGTTTATTAAGTGGGGCCCAAAATGAAGTAATATGATCACTTTCTCTCCCGTCTGAAACAACTGAAAACAAAATCAGATGAAAAGCAATACTGAAGCAATAGTTTTGAAGACACCAGACATCACACAATAAATCACACTAATTCCCAAAAGACAGGGCTCGTGGAGGTGAAGCCCTACAACTGACTGCCACAGGTTATTGTGGAGAGAATTCCCAAGCCACGGTGGGTGCAGAGATAGGGAGCCCAGGCAGAGGTCTCGGGTTGTAAGTGAGGGCGCCCTGGACATCTGCAGAGGGTCCCAGCAAGTATTCAGGAGGACACTGACCACAGCATGTGTGTGAGTCTGGGGGTGAGGGTGGGACAACCGCCCAAAAGGATTAGAGAAAAGTAGCCCTCATCTCTCAGAACAGTGCCTGTTCGTACCAGGTGGACCAGAGAAACTCATAATTCACATGACACTGGGTACTATACTCTGGAAGGTTTCTGCATCAGTAGTGGGAAATAGGAACATTGCTCCATATCCAACTAACAAATTTTAAAGGCAAAACTCAAGAAGGATCAAACTAATTCAAAGTGATTTAACTGCATCCCAGAACAATATTCAGGAATACTTGTAGGAATATAAAACTATCCAGCCTAATAGGGTAAACTTCTCAATGTCTGGCTTTTTTTTTTTTTTTTCAGTACCGGAGATTGAACTCGGGTCCTTGGGCTTGCAAGGCAGGCCACCGAACCGCTGAGCTAAATCCCCGGCCCTAAATGTCTGGCTTCTAAGCAAAGCTTATCAGGTATGCAAAAAAATGATCCATCATGATAATCACCAACTAATGAAACAAAACTAGAAATAACATGGGTGTTAGAACTAGCAAGTAAGAATATCAAAATAACTCTAACTGCATGCTATGTGTTCAAAAAGTTAAGCAGGGACACAGGTGACAGGAGAAAAAGCTTAAATTGAACTCCTAGACATAACAGTATCTGACATGAAAAAGCACTTGTGAGATTAACAACACATAACAGATGAAAAGTTGAATGAACTCAAAGACATGACAGAAACTATACAGAATGAGCAGGCCATGGTAATGAATGCCTGTCCCAGCTACTTGAGAAACTGAGGCAGACTGCTTCTTGGATTTGTGGCTAAGATCAAGTTGAGAAACTGAGGCAGAAGGATCTCGATCTCTCTCTCTTTTTTTTTGAGATAGTATCTGATTGTATAGCACAAGCTGACCTCAAACTTACAGAGATCCTCCTGTCTCGGCCTCAGAAGAATCTTACGAGCCCAGCAGTTTGAAACAACCGGTTTGAGCCATACAGTAACACCAAGACCCTACCCTAAGAGAGAGAAGAGCATCATTGAGCTATGGGACAACTTCAAGAAGCCTTATATATGTTTAATTGAGATCCCTAAAGGAAGGGGGTGGGACAGAAAAAACATTTTTAAAAAATAGATGGAAAATTTACAAATTTGATAAAAACTACAAAATCTACAGATTCGACAAACTCAGTGAACCCCACAAACAGGAAACACGAAAAAAAAAACTACAAGATTCATCATAAGCACACTGTTCAAAAACGGTGATAAAGACAAAGTCTAAAAAAAAATTCCCGTTGGTAGTATATGAAGATATTGGTAAAATTTCAGGAGAAAAATTATCTCACCACCATGCCCAGCAAGAAATTATCTTTACTGCTACCTGCCTTGTAAGCACAAAAGCCCAAGTTCGATCCCTGGTACAAAAAAAAAAAAACCAAAAAGTTATCTTTAAATACAAAAATGTTTAAAGAGCTTAAAATTTAAAAGGCAGGAAAAGATAAGCCATCCTAATATCAGTTAAATGAGCTAGACTCTTGATAAGTTGCTAAGTTGCCCAGCCCAGGCTTGAATTTGTGATCTTCCTGTACTACCACACCTGGCTAGAATGTAACTTTGTAATATTAAGGGTTTAATTAATCAACAATAATAAGAGAGGCTTAGGGTGTAGCTTAGTGGGAGAGTGCTTCCCTAGCATGCATAAGACCCCAGGATGAATCCCCAGGACTGCAACAATAAAACCCTAAACACTTGTGGTCCTGATAATAGCTTTGATTATATAATGCAAAACCTAACAGAACTACAGGAGAAATAAACAAATTCACGATTACAGTTGGAAATTTCAATACCTCTCTTTCAATAATTGATAGAAGTAGACAGAAAATCATCATAGCGGACTTGAATAATACTGTCCACCAAGACAACCTCTAAACACTTAGAAAACACTACCCTTGACAGTAGGATTTATATTCTATTTAAATGCACACACAATATTCAGGACCATAAAACAAATCTCGATAAATCCAAAGAAATTCAGATCATAAAGTATGTTCTTTATCCACAATAAAATTAAACTTTAGTAACAAAAAGATATATGGAAATCCTTCCAGACAAATGGAAACTATATAACATAGTTTTACATAATCCACTGGTCAAAGGAGAAATCAGAAAATACACTGAATTAAATGAAAAGTAAAATGCAGCATGGGCCAGGGATTTAGCTCAGTGGTTTTGCCACCTGCCTTGCAAGCACAAAGACCTGTTTGATCCCCGGTACAAAAAAAAAAAAAAAAAAAGCAGCATATCAGAATTTGGAAGATACTGGCAAAATTTCAAGGGGAAATGCATAGCACCCAACACTTACATTAGTAAAGAAGGCCTCCAATCAGTGGCCTCAACTTCTGCTTTAAAAAAACTATAAAAAGAAGAACAAATGAAACTCAAGGTAATCAGAAGAAAGAAAATAATAGCATCTGAAAGGGACCCATAAAATAGAAAGTAAAGAAACAATAGAGAAAAATTAATGAAACCAGAGCTGGTTCTTTTCAGACTAGTGTTTATTGATTGTCTCCTATGTGTCAGGCCTTGTTTGAGTCACTGGGTCCATAGCGGTAAACACAACAAGCAAAAAACCCAGGTATAGTCCCTTACATGTGCCTTTAAAACAGCTTGTTCTTTCTACCTAGAATGCTGGCCTCTTGGTTTATCTACTTGTCTCATTTTCTTGCCTTTTTTTTTTTTTTCCAAAGCACTCATTACCTTTTGGCAGACTTTTTTTCTTTCCTTTTGTTTCTTTTACTTTGAAAAATAAAAGATTGAGACCTTAAGTGTTGGGTGCTATAAATTTCCTCCTGAAATGTCACCAATACCTTACAAATTTTGATATATTTTGTTATTTTCATTTAATTCAATACACTTTCAATTTTCTCTTTTGATTTCTTCCTATCTTTCCTTTCTTCCTTTCCTTCCTGCCAACCTGTCTATATAGCCCTACGAACATATATAAGCCATAACGATAAGTTTGTGTTTCTTTTTCTCTGCCATTACCACTCGTATCCAAAATAGGGTCTGAAACATGGTAGTATAGTAAGTGAGAAATATTTAGTTAACAGATGAATCGCTGTTCTCATAGAACTTACATTGTCTTTAAATTTAAGTTTTGAAGATCAGTGCTCACAAGACAGGATCACAGAGTCAGGGAGAAAGTATTACTAATTTTGGAAATCAAAGTCTAAGGCTCATAAAGTATCAAGATCATATTTGGAGGTTAGAAGTCAGGAGGAACCTGAGCCAGTTTTAACAAAGATCGCCAGGCTGTGGTCAGGAAAGTTCAAATCGGGTTTTGGGATCAATCAGTAGGATGTAGATTCCAGGAGCTGAAAATAAAAGGTATGAAAAGATTGAGTTAGGATGAAAAGTAGGAGACTGGTTTTGTTACAAGGCAGGATTTGGGCATTAGGGGTCAGTTAACCCAGCGTTGGAAGTCAGATTTAGGAGTAAAAGGCTAGCAAGTCACAGGGATCAGAGACTGATAGGGAAACAGATGTCGGATCCTACAGCTCCGTTTGGCAGTCTAAGTTTCACTCACGTGTCCCCGTCCTCAGTGACGTAGCCAAAAACGAGGGGCGCCCACGACAGACCCGGGCCCAACTCTGCGCCCAGCCCCGAACTTCCAGGAGCTGCTGCGTCCGGACCCAGAGAGCCCAGGCCGCTGTCGCACCATTCATCAGCGTCTGTAGCTTTTCCCAAGCACGCGACCCCAGCCATGGCCCCAGCCACCTCAGTGACCACCTACGGCCACCGCCTGGCTGGGCTCTGCTGGGAGCTCAGGCGCTTCCGCCCTACCGGGAATTCCCCAACATTCCCTCTAGCTCACCCAATCAGAGTGGAGGAAATTGCTCACGTCCCGCCTCAGTACCATACTATGGCCAATTAGAATATTCAGTTAGGTTATGGCTCGCTAGTCGTCCCCGCATTTTCCAGACGCCCTTTACCAACATGGCTACCGACGCCCGGCCCTTTGGGACTTGTAGTCTGACCTTCGCGTTTCTACCTTGAGGAAGGCGCGAGACCAGCAACGCGTGAAAGTTTTTATGTGGTCGCAATGGTTGCTGGGTGTTGTAGTTTTCTGCCCTATCCCTGCCCCTTCTGTTTCCGGTGCCGTCACGGGACAGAGCAGTCGGTGACAGCCCCGAGGGCCCCCGCCCCG